AGGGAGCGGAACGTGGCAGCCGCCGCGAGCGGGGACCTCGAGCCGACGGGCGGCCGGGCGGGTGCAGGGAGGGCGCCGCGCACCGCGCGGGCTGGAGGTTGGAGGCTGAGGACCGAGCAAAGGGGAGAGCTGTCCGCGAAGTCAGGACAGGGGCGGGCGGCGCCTTGTCTAGAGGCCTTTCTGTGCCCAGGTAGGGGGCTGTCCCTTAGCAGGAACAATCGAGGGATGTTTGGCAAAGAAGGGAGGCAGTGGGACTGCCTGTTTTGGGGGGGGGGGCGTTTCGGAGGGGTGTGTCCTTTTGGCCAGAGGCCGACTTGACAGCATTGCAGGAAAAGGCGTGTTCTGCCTGGCAAACCACTACCCTTAAGTTAGGATGGAGGGGACGGGAATGGCATTCGAGGACACGACTCTGGCATTGGGAGGCTTCCCCTGGTTCCTAGGCTGCTGCCTAGAGCAGCATGAGGGCTGGACAGACCCCCTTGCTTTGTCCTGCAGAGGTTCTGTTTGTAGAAGGAAAGAGAAGTCAGTCCAGAGGTTGGTATGGTAGGAGAAAAATGTGTTTTCCAGCCTCTGTGATCTTGAGTTCTTCATGACATTGGGTCTTTTACGCGCACTCATGTGTATTCTTCATTTTTAAAGTCAGTAAATCAAAATGTGCAGTATCCACAGGGACATTCTACCACCACACTTTGCTATCTGAAGCAGTGACTGGAGACCTCCCCTCTAAAATCTAACCGTGTTACTGTTAGATAAGCCAGCAATGACGGCATGTTACAGAGCGACTCTAAGTCAAAAGCAATTTCTTGCTCTCTGACCTTGAGCACATCATTTTATTATTCTTTGTCATGCCTTGGGGGTCAAAAAAAAAAGATGCTTGAGACTCCTTGTATTGTGTACGTGTAATGCTAGTAAAATGCTGTGTGATGTTTTGTGTTATAGGAGTTAAAAGGGGCTCTTAATTGAAACCTCTATGAAGGCTGTTGTTGAGGTTCTCGTGATACTGCCACTTGCCACCTTTGAAAAGGAGCCTAAGAGTCTCTTAGCGAGAGGTGTTAAGTTCTTCAGATTTTTATTTTTTCAGTGAAGGTTTAAAAATCATACTGGTTTTTCATACAGTCATTAATAGACATTTAGTTCTCTTTGGTCAAACTTGTTTAGAGATGTAGGGTTTCTAAATTACTTGAAGTGTTGAAGTCAGAGGTACTCTATCTGTGGTAGATCACTTTCACATTCACTTAATAAATATTAGAAAGGATTTTCTAGGTTCTTGCAACCATCTGCTTCTATCTACTGACCTGGTACTGACATTAACAGGTTAATTCATATGGTCCCTAAGTTTTGTAGATGTTGATCTATTTTTTGAACCAGATTAATATTACCTTGAGATAATACTGTATAGTTCTTTTTATGATATGTATTTTAATTAAGAATTTAATTAAGAATGTGAGAGCTTGAAAGCAGATCTGTGTCTAGAGGTAGATCACTTTTCTCAGTAAACTCCTTATTTATTTTTATTTTTAAATTGATAGTAACAACCAATATTTCTTGAGTATTTAGCACATACTATTTGAAATGCTTCTATGTCTTGTATCTGGTGTCTGGTTTTCTTCTCGAATGTGTAAGACCACTCCAAGGATCTGGTTAGAATAGCTGTATTTTACAAAGGAGAGCATTGAGGCATAGAGAGGTGAAGTTGCTTGCCTAAGATCACACAGCTTTTAAATGCAGAGCCAGGATTCAAAACTTGATAGGCCCCAAGCCAGAAGCAACCACATCCTCTCTTTGGTGTCTCAACTATTCCTCAGCTAGCACTGTTTAGATGGAAAAACTAGACCCCAGACGAGGGGGCGGCAGTCTATAAATGTTAGGTGACTAGTGCTGGGAGAACAACTGCTCTCTTACCCTTTTAAAAATAATGTGTTTTCAGTGAAGTTTATGTAGTATATTAGGTTCCCATTGAACAATTCACTAAAGATGCATCAAACTTCTGGGTGTTAGTTTATTTTATGAGCCTGTCTGTTGTTTAGCTGAAATGTGACATTTGAGAGTAGTTTCAGTTCAGCATATAATGGATATTTCAAGGTGATAGTAGTGGGGTTCCTTTACTCTCATCCAGTCCAGTTAAGTCTGACCTTTCATAAGTTCTATTTTTCTCCCATTCTATCAGGATCCATCATTTTGTGTACCTAATCAGAATGATGTGTTATGTCTCTGCAAATACTGCATATTATAATAGCTTTAAATATATAATAGCTTTAAAAATTCAGTATATTGAAGTACTTTAAAAGAGACTCAATGTCATCAAGAAATTATGTTCTTGTGGTGTCAGGATAGGTGAACCTGTACTTCTTGGATCATCTTAGTCCTATAGACAGGTTTACTTTTTAAGTCTTTGGATTCCATCTTGGTTCTGCATATGTAGAGACCAGTAATTGTATCTTAGATGGCTACTTAGATGTTTGAGACTCCACGAGCTGTTCACCAAACTAGAATATAGACAATAGACTTTATAACTGTGTTAGGTTGGTTGAGAGAGTTATCCTAAGCCTTCAAGCTTGTTAAGCCTCAATCCTAATGAGGTTATTTAGTTATGTCTAAGTCCCATTTTGGTTTTTATTTGTTGTTGATTTCTTTGTTCGCATCAATAAAAATGGACAGAAATTAATTTGAGGCTTGGGACAACTGTTAGCCATTGCTCATTGGAAGTTCTAGAAAATTAGACCTTATTTTAGTCAAGTATTGGGTTGGTATTATCCACAGTTGTGTTTTGGGGGTTTGTTTTGTTTTTTTTTTTTAATTAGTTAAAAGAGCTAGAAGCAGTTTTCTATAGGTACATTTTATGTAAGTGTTACCATTATCTGGACTTAAAGAAAGTCAGAGTTTAGAGAAAAAAGGCACACAGGCATCTGTATTCAGCATACATAATTTTATTTGATCCATTGTGAAGTAGATTTAATTTTACAGATGAAGAAACATCTGGAGAATTACTTGCTCAGGGTCACATAAATAGTTATTAGTGGAGACAGACAGTGGTGTCCAACCAAGACCTGTATCTTTTCTTCTGTGTTTTAAAAAAGCAAGAGCTTGCCCTTCTTCGTCGCTGTTGCCGCTGCCATACACGCTCGCCCTACCCAGACCAATTATGGCAGAAAATGATGTGGACAATGAGCTCCTGGACTATGAAGATGATGAAGTGGAGACAGCAGCTGGAGGAGATGGGGCTGAGGCTCCTGCTAAGAAGGATGTGAAAGGATCCTATGTCTCCATCCACAGCTCTGGCTTCCGTGACTTCCTGCTTAAGCCAGAGTTGCTTCGTGCGATTGTTGACTGTGGTTTTGAGCATCCATCAGAAGTTCAGCATGAGTGCATCCCACAGGCCATTCTGGGAATGGATGTCCTATGCCAGGCTAAATCAGGCATGGGAAAGACAGCAGTGTTTGTGCTGGCCACACTGCAGCAGTTGGAGCCAGTTACTGGACAGGTATCTGTGCTGGTGATGTGTCACACTCGGGAGTTGGCTTTTCAGATCAGCAAGGAGTATGAGTGCTTCTCCAAGTACATGCCCAATGTCAAGGTTGCCGTGTTTTTTGGTGGTCTGTCTATCAAGAAGGATGAAGAGGTGTTAAAGAAGAACTGCCCACATATCGTCGTCGGAATCCCTGGCTGCATCCTCGCCTTGGCTCGAAATAAGAGTCTCAACCTCAAACACATTAAACACTTCATCTTGGATGAGTGTGACAAGATGCTTGTACAACTCGACATGCATCGGGATGTCCAGGAAATTTTTCACATGACCCCCCATGAGAAGCAGGTCATGATGTTCAGTGCTACCTTGAGCAAAGAGATTCGTCCAGTCTGCCGCAAGTTCATGCAAGACCCAATGGAGATCTTCGTGGATGATGAGACGAAGCTGACGCTGCATGGGTTGCAGCAGTACTACGTGAAACTGAAGGACAACGAGAAGAACCGGAAGCTCTTTGACCTTCTAGATGTGCTTGAGTTTAACCAGGTGGTGATCTTTGTGAAGTCTGTGCAGCGATGTATTGCCCTGGCCCAGCTCCTAGTAGAGCAGAACTTCCCAGCCATTGCCATCTACCGAGGGATGCCTCAGGAGGAGAGACTCTCTCAGTACCAGCAATTTAAAGATTGTCAACGACGTATTCTTGTGGCCACCAATCTATTTGGCCGAGGCATGGACATTGAGCGGGTGAACATTGCCTTTAACTACGACATGCCTGAGGATTCTGACACCTACTTACATCGGGTGGCCAGAGCAGGCCGATTTGGCACCAAGGGCTTGGCCGTCACGTTTGTGTCAGATGAAAATGATGCCAGGATCCTCAGTGATGTTCAGGATCGCTTTGAGGTTAATATTAGTGAGCTGCCTGACGAGATAGACATCTCCTCCTACATTGAACAGACACGGTAGAAGATTCGTCCGTTGTGGAACATGACAGTCTGTCCCCACTTCAGGAGACACCACCAGGCATGGGGGTGAAGGAGACACTACTGCCACCCAGCCTTGACCCCTCCCCCATGGCTTCCCTCTTTTGCATCACCACCACTCCTGTATCCCTGTACCTGATTTGTCAGAATTTTTTAACAAAACTAAAAATGAAACATGTGTCTCTGGTAAAAAAAAAAAAAAGAGCTTGTCATTATAACCTCACATTTTGAGATGTTACTGTATGAGATTCTTTGGCCAAGTAATGAACGAAGGACAGTGTAAAAAAGGGCCTAGAATGCTAGGATCTAGTTTCTTTTCTGATTCCTATTGTTAATAGCCTCTTGTCTCCTTTCTTTTTCTTATCTGAAATAGGTATAATCCTTTCCTGAGTCTGAGAGAATTAATGTTTGTAAAGTGATTCGAGATCTTTACTTGAAAGTGTTAGATAAATAAAGTCCTTTTATTTCCCAGACAAATGTCTGAGTTCCCCTGGTGATATAGACATGTATTTTGCCAATATCTTCTCTGTTTTCCACTGTATGTTATGATTTTCTTGTTTGGTTAGCCTTTCGGTAGATACATGTGGTGCTGGACATGATCAGGGTAACTAGCTTCTAAAACTCAAGCTAAAAAGGGTGGGCTCTGTTCGACATGTTAGGCCTGTCTTCGTTGTTGTTGTTGTCATGTGCCATCGAGTCACCTGCGACTCATAGCGACCCTATGTACAAGAACTCTATACGCTCTTCTATCCTGTGCCAACCTAACCGTCCCAAGCGCACTTATTCCCACCTCTCTAGTCACAGAATCGATCCATCTCATCGAGGGTCTTCCTCTCCTGCGCCGTCCCTCCACTCTGCCAAACATGATGTCCCTCTCCAAGGACCAGTCCCTCCTTGCAACATGCCCAAAATATGTCAGACGAAGCCTCAGAATCCTTGACTCCAGGGAACACTCTGGCTTCACCCTCTCCAGGACAAACCTGTTTGTTCTCCCAGCAGTCCATGGTATATTCAACACTCTTCTCCAGCACCACAGCTCAAAGGCATCAATTCTCTATCAACCCTAGTCACTGTCCAACTCTCTGATACATAGCACGTAATTGCGAAGACTATAGCCCGGATCAGGCGCACCTTAGTCTCCAGCCTGACATTGTTGCTCTTTGGTACTCTTGAGAGGTCCCTCACAGCCGACTTTCCCAATGCAATTCATCTCTTGATTTCCTGGCTGCTGTTACCAAGAGTGTTGACCGCGGAGCCAAGTAAACTAAAACTGTTAACTATCTCAATCTCTTTGCCATCCTTACTGATGCTGCCAATTGGCCCAGTGGTTAGAATCTTTGTTTTCTTGATGTTAAGCTTCAGTCCATATAGGAGGCTGTAGTCCTTGATCTTCTGCAGCAAACGCTTCAGGTCCTCCTCAGTTTCAGCAAGCAGGGTTGTGTCATCTGCATAATGCAGGTTATTGATGATTCTTCAACCAATCTCGATGCCACATTCCTCTTCGTACAGCCCAGCGTCTCGGATGATCTGTTCTGCATACAGATTGAAAAGGTATGGAGACAGAATACATCCCGGATGAACCCCCTTCTTGATTTTGAACCATGGAGACAGAATACATCCCTGAGGAACCCCCCCTTCTTGATTTTGAACCATGTAGTGTCTCCTTGCTCTGTTCTGATGACTGCCTCTTGGTCCGAGTATAAGTTTCGCATTAGCACAATCAAATGTTCTGGGATTCCTATTCTTCTCAGAGTCAGCCACAGCTTGTTGTGATCCACACAGTCAAAAGCCTTTGCATAGTCAATGAAGCACAGATAGACATTCTTCTGGTATTCTTTGCTTTCTGCTAAAATCCACCTAACATTAGCTATAATATCCCTAGTACCACACCCTCTTCTTAATCCAGCCTGTACATCTGGCAGTTCTCTGTTGACATTTGCCATTCAAAAAAGTTGGAATTTTTTTTTAATTCCATAGGTAACAGAGGTTTCTTTGAGTAACTGTGTTCTTGAAGTATTTTAAACAAAAGAGTAATGTCTGCATGATTTGTTGTTGTTTAGTACCATAGTGGATTTAGACTAGAGTGGAGCATAAGACCTTATGGGAAGCTCTTGGAGTTGTCTGGTGTACATTCATGGGTTGGAACAAGGGCAGGAAAAATGAAGATGGTAAAGGATTCAGCTCTTTGTTCTAACTTAGCTCAGGTTTGACTGGTAGTAAACTACAATGCAACTGCATGTACCCAGGGAGTGTTTAAAAGAATGAATCCTGTCTACCCTCCCTTTCCTGAACATTTATTCAGAGTCCATTTCTAAGTAGGTAACCTAGTTACATGGCCTACGAGTAGGAAGCACAGATATAATACAGGAACATATTTTCCTTAACAACTGCAATCTCTTAGAGCATAATCAAATTCCTATAAATAGGATGTCCTCCCACCCAAGATAGAAGTTAGGTAATGCTATGGTCTTTCCTGTTATATTGTTTCTAAAGACTTAAAAAAGTGAGTAAAAATTGTGTGACCTTGAGAGTTATTGTTGTTATGGGCCAGTAAATCACCTGCGACTCATAGCGACCTATAAATGATAGCTCTGAACCTTGTCCTATCCTGAGCCAGTCCCACTGTCCGTGACACACTGCCCCTATTACCTCAGTCACTGTGTCAGTCCATCTCATCCAAGATCTTCCTCTCCTGAGTTGTCCCTCCAACCTTTCCAAGCATGACATTCTTCTCCAAGGACTGGTCCCTCCTAGCAGCCTGACCAAGGTTTATAAGACAGAGCTTCAAAATCCTTGCCTCCAAAGAGCAATCTGGTGTCACCTACTCCAGGATAGACTTGTTTGTTCTCTTGCCAGTCCATGGTATGTTCAATACTCTTCTCCAGCACTACGATTTAAAAGCATCATTTCTTCTTCTCTTGTGCTTTTTCATTGTGCAGCTCTCTAATGCGTAACAAATAATTGCAAAGACCATGGCCTGGAACAGGTGCACCTTAGTCTCTAGACTGACTTCTTTGCATGTCAGCACTCTGGAGAGGTCCTTGACAGCTGACTTTCCTAATTCAGTTCATCTATTGGGTGCTGGTTCCAAGTGTATTAATTGTGGACTCAGTCAAGCTGAAATTGTTGAGAATCTCCATCTATCAAGAGCCAATAGGCCCAGTAAAATATCTTTGTTTTCTTAATGTTTACTTTCTGCAGCAGATGCTTCAGGTGTAATAGCATGTAATTTTTTATAATTCCTTTTTTGTTTTTTAAGCAAGACTGAATGGTTCATTAAGTTAAGAGAACAGATAGGAGAGGTCTCCCAGTGAAGGTAATGGGAAAAGGGAAACATGATGATTGTGATAGATTTGCTCTAAAGATGACTACTTGGAAAGAAGATTGCCCTTTTTGGAACGTAATGATTTACCCCTAAAAAATATTTATAATTAAACCTTAAAATGCAATTAAGTTATAGTACTTGGGATATAGTAAAATAATGTATGGATAAATTTGTGTGTTGCTAGACCCTGGAGATTTAAAAAAAAAAGGTAATTATCTAGAGAAAATCTCTTTTGAGCTAGTTCTTGAATGGATAACTATTTGCCTGGACAAGAATAAAGAAAGGTCATTTCTGGAAAGAAAGAATAGCATATGCAAAAATAAAAAAGTAGGACGAAATGTGCAATTTTTTTAACCCTGTTTTTCAGGGCAAGCTCTCAAATGTAATTTTAGAACTTGTTTAGTTACACTTGAAAGTAGCAAGTACCTCTATCTCCATTTTGAGTTAGAAACTAAGATTTGAAGAGTTTAGCTAGCTCAGTGTCACACAGTATGAGTCAGAGGCAAGGAGCCCAGACTAGGTTCCTGAAAACCAGGTTGCCAAGTCTCGTGCCCTGACTAATTCTCTGTCATGGAAATAGACTGCTGTTGATTCATGAGCATTTTGAGGTGGTTTCACTTTATTGGAACCAAATTCTATACCCACAGTTGACATGAGACATCCTACCAAAAGCTTTTTAAAGAATACTGTAATTTATTGATATTTACCTCCTGCCATGTGAGACTCATGACTTAGTGGTAGGAATTGCACAGCAAACACAAAGGTACATGGTTCAAATCCACCAGCTGCTCCACAGAAGTATGAACAATCTTCTATGCAGTTAACTGGCTGGGAAAATCTGCAGGAGGATCAGCTATGGGTTCCTACTTGATGGTTCAGAACAGTAACAACCAGGTGAGCCAGAAATGGATCATGAAGTAATTAAGGCTTCCTGACCAAATAACTTTCATCTTCAAAAGTTGGCTACTTAGTATTTAAGAGGTCATCCAGTACCTTCCCCATTTAACACAAAAGAGCAAATATGTTTGTTTCTTCATGAAACACTGTGGTTTATCTTTAGTAGTTATTTTGCACATAGGTGGGGTAAATTTGCTCATAACTCCTACAGGATATGAATCATTTGTGTTCACACATTGACCTATTCTCATTTTGTTCTTTCTGAGAAGAATATTATTATAGAATGTATTATGTAACATTGAAGATACTGTTATTTATATTAAAGACATTCTTAAATCAACTTTGCAGAATCTATGATAAACTGAAGAACTTGGGTAATTTTCATGAACATCTAGTATACATTCAAATAAACAAGTATAAAAAGTCCAGGAAAACATTATTAGCCCTATATATGTTCAAGATCTTTGCTTACTATGGGAGGCTGTAAAATCGGGAATAGCACAGTCCAGATGGCAACACTGAAGCCTGCAACCATTGACCTGTTTAAAAATTGTGTAGTGAAAATTTGTAACTGCTGACTTCCATTCTTCTCTTGTTTCTTTAAATTACTTTGTTTTGAACAAGTATTTACATATTAGGAAAGTGTGACTATTTAACAGACATATTTAGATTAATCAGGAAAGTTAATAATTTTAATTCAATTGTTTGTGAGAGACCAATTCTTGGTAAATATTATAAAATAAGTAATGCTGGTGAGATAAGGAGGTATGACTTTGTACTATATTAATAAGGTAGATAGTGGTGATTTATTTTATAGCTTTGAATTGAAAGAGGAGAAAAAGAATAGAAAGATTAGATGAGCTTTCACTCTAGAAGGAGTTGATCATGAATCTGTCAGTTGCTGTTGTCTCCAAGGCTATGGTCAGACTAGTTTTACTGTAAAACTTAAAGTTTAAAAAA